TCTCATAAGGCTATCCTCTCTATTCACATAGATGCCATGGAAAGCTTGACATTTATACAGAGAGCCAGAACGCTTTCTTTCCAAGATACTATTATGGTATATTAGATCTATAATGAGCTCAAAATCATACATGCCCTCATTTTGGGAATGGAGATAAAATGTGGTCTGAAAAGACCAAATTACTTTACAAAACGGACCCAGCTGGTTAGTGAGAACACTGAATGCAATTCATAGGAAGGAAATTGAGATACTAGGGGGTCAGGAAGAGTCACCCCAAAGCCCCTGAACACTAGAGATGACCATGTGCAGCCCATACACTGGAAAAGTTTCCAGCAGAACAGCTAAGATGTCATGTACTCAGGGCTGGCAGATGGTATGGTGGTTAAGGGCACTGGATTCCCACATGGCTGACCACAGTTCAAGTCCCAGACCTGACTGTTTGCTTGCTTACTTTCCCTTTCTCTCTTTCTGTGGTAAAATTAAAAACAAATTTTAAAAAAATAAAATTAAGTAAAATAAATAAATCTTTCAAAAAAAAAAAGATGTCATATATTCAACAGAGTTAATAAGCAATGGCTAGGGCCGGCAGGTGGCATGTGGTTGAGGTGCTGGACTCCCACATGGCCGACTGTGGTTCAAGTCCTGGACCTGGTGACTTGCTCTCTCACTTTCCTCTCTCTCTCTCTTGTTTTATCTCTCTCTGGTCAAATTAAAACAAATGAATAAGTAAAAATAAATGAATAATTATTTTTTAAAAAATAAGCAATGAGTCACTTATTGAGAGGATCGGTGTGGCACCACTGTCACTTAGCTCTCCTAAGGTTCCTCAGAGACCATGCCCTGTGTTGTCCCTCTAAATCCTAGGGCAATAGAACTGCTCACAGGTTCCTTTGAAAAACTATGTTGGGACCAGCAGCTGGTGTAATGGCTATGTTGCTGGACTCCCATGTAGTGGATCGCAGTTCAAGTCCCAGACCTGGTGGCTTAAACTCACGCTGGGTGTGTGTGTGTGTGTGTGCCCAAGATCTGGAGAGGAGAATGGAGGAGAAGGGATTGTGGAGTGGCCATCCACCCTGGGGGCTGATTTCTCACTTATCTGTCTCTCTGTCTCTCTCTGTCTGTCTGGCGAGCGCACACGCCCTATGGCAAAAACCTCTCTAAAAAAAAAAAACTGTATCCGCCATCTTTTTGCCAGAACTACCGCATTCCTACCTAGTCAACTCTAGGGGCATCATCCCTGCAGGGATGCTTCCCCTGTCTGTGCAGGCCATCACATTCCACTGCTGGTATCCCCTTCATCACAGCCTTAGAAAACTATTTAGAGGGAGTCAGTCTGTGCTGTGGGGGTTAAGGTGGCTGGACCCTGCATGGCCAATTGCACACTTCAAATTCCAGACCCAGGTGCTAGAGAAACTCCCAGGGTGCTTGTGCATGTGAGCCCAGAATCTTAAAAGGGTGAGTGGCATGACCATGTTCCATGGCGGTGCAGAGGAGGCTTTTTCATCATCCCATTCCCCCCAATCTCTCTCCAGCAAGCACACATACCCTCTGGCAAAATGACTAAAAACAAACAAACAAGAAAAAATAAATTTGAGCTAGTTTCTTATTTTCACTTTGTTTGCCTTCCCAATTACACTGGGAGCTTCCTGGAGGCAAGGACAATCTTAGTTCTCATCAAAATTCTAATAGAGTGACAGTGTCCAAGTTTGTATTGATGGAAAATTTGGAATGGAGGGACCAGCAGATGGTGTAATGAATACATTGCTGGATTCCCACATAGTCAACTGAGGTTTGAGTCCTGGGCGGAGCAGCTGGAAACACACTGGGCACGTGTGCATGCAAGCTCAAAATACCAAGAGGAGAATGGAGGAGAAGAGATTGCAATGTGGCCACCCTTCCTGAGGGATGGTTTCTCAATTTCTTTCTCTCTGTCTCTCCAGTGAGCACACATGCGCTACAGCAAACAAACAAAGAAACAAAAATCTCTCTTTTAAAAAAAAAAATTGGAATGAAAAAACGAAGTAGCATTTAAATGTAGATACAAATATGTTTTCCACGGTTTTTTTTTAAAGCCCTAGTTCCATATGGTCCAGCTTCCTCTTTTCACCACTTGTTCATCTCCATGTGTCCAAAATTATATTAAATATTAGCTTCCTGTTGTTGTTCAGTCCCCTCTTACTGGAAATGGAAAATCTTTAGATCGATCATGTATCCCGCTATTGCCATTAAAATATTGTGACTTAAGAAATGGTAGGTTTCGTACGAATTTCTCTCTGGCCTTTTTATTTTTTTATTTATTTGCTTGATTGCCCTGTTCCCCATCCCTCCCCCTTTTTAATAGCAATGACATCTAGAAATAGGGTTTATCTGTTCTGCTTGGTGACCATGCAGGTAAAATATGAAGCAAATCTTGAATGTCCATGGCAACAGAAGGAGCAGGCATCCCTGACTTGCTCCTGTGCATATTTGCTGTGCTTAATTTCTTCTCTCAGATCAAGGCATTTGCAGGCATAATATCTGAGAGCCTCAATATTCTCTCTAACTGCTCAGTGTTTCTTCTTGCCTTGACCTGGATTCTCATCGTCACCGGGGATTTGTTTTTGCTTTGGAACATCGACTGTGATGAAATCTACTGAGGCCTCGGAAAGCATTTCTGTTTGTGTAAATGAAAATGCAAGCTTTCTATGTGTCCAGCAGTTGGCAATTCTGTATCGAACTCTTCTTTTCCTGGGTCCCCTGGAGACCAAGGGTCAGGGACAATATCTACATAGAGAAAGCCCATAGGTTGCCACAAAGCAGAAAATTTCAGGCTATGATTCCCAAAAACAGAAAAAGAGTTTTTATGCTGCACTCAAAGAAGCCTGAGCTTTGGTTAAAAAGATCTATTTGAGAGTTCATATTCTCCTATGTGGGCTCTTCTCTTTCTGCCATCTTGGAGCCTGTGGAAGCCTTCGGGGAAGAGACCTCTAAAAGGCAACTATGGGGACCAACAGATAGCAGAATGGTTGCATTGCTGGACTCCCACATAGTTGACCACAGTTCGAGTCCTGGATTGGGTGGCTTAAACTCACGACGGGCACGTGTGCGTGCATGCCAAAATCCTGAGAGGAGAATGGAGGAGAAGGGGCTGTGGCATGGCCATTTTCCCTGGGGAGTAATCTCTCACTTTCTGGGTCTGGCAGATGGCATGGTGGTTAAGAGAGCTGGAATTCCACGTGACCAATCGCCTCACTTTCTGGGTCTGGCAGATGGCATGGTGGGTAAGAGAGCTGGACTTCCACATGACCAATCGCCAGTCCTGGACCTGGCAGTTTTCTTTCTCACTTTCCCTCTTCGCCTCCCTCACTCTGTCCCACTCTGGTCAAATTAAAATAAATAAATAAATAAAGTTTTTTTTTTTTTTTTTTAAAGGCAATTGTGTCTGGACAGCTGTGGTCCAAGGCCATTATTGCTGGCTGTAAGCAGGGTTTCAGGAACCAAAGGGAACACATAACTCTTCTTAAAATTGAAGGTGTTTGGGATCAGCAGTTAGCATGAGTAATGGCTATGTCACTGGACTCCCATGTAGCCGAACACAGTTTGAGTCCCGGACCCGGTGGCTTAAACTCATGCTGGGTGCGTGTGTGTGCGTGCCCAAGATCCTGAGAGGAGAATGGAGGAGAAGGGATTGCGGCGTGGCCATCCCTCCTGGGGGGTGATATCTCACTTTCTGTCTCCCTGTCTCTCTCTTTCTGGTGAGCACATGCACCCTATAGCAAAAACCTCTCCGAAAAAAAAAATAAAAAATTG